ATCAAATATGTCTTGAGTTGAAACTGTGCATAGGCTTAAGAAAAGGCAATGCAAAGTGGTTGTTGTACCACATGAACTGTGTCTAATTCGCAAATGGTTTGATCACCAATTGGTTCTGGATGTTATGCGTCGTACGTCGGATTCACAAATGGTGTGAAATCAGCGTCGATTGGATTGGTGAGTTATGTGGAGTCAATTAAATCTTTGGAACTTGCTTATTCTTGTCGTTTCTTTCTTTTATCACGAAATGTTTGACCGTGAATTAGTCTCGATCGCACTTCAATTTCTAGATCAAATTTTTTTAATGTGTCTGGATTCTTCTTGGTCATAAATCTAAAACAAGAAAATTAAATCAGTAACTTTTTGTAGTCCCCAATAGCAGCACCAATTTTGATACGATGTCATTATGCTATTAAAATAAATAGCCTTAATCCCAATAAAATAAATAAGAATAAGTTTGAACTAAAAGAAACTAGTGGAAATTAAAAACTAGTTTGAATTGAGAAACAAAGTTTGAGGACTAAGTGATGAACTTCAAAGAGATTAATGGTTTTAATTGAAATTTATCCTTTTTTTATATGTTGGATTTCAGCTGAAAAGAAAAGCTTGAGGTGGATTTTAAACTCACATCCTTATAAATGCTTAGCTAAGCTTCTCCCAACTTAGCAGAGTCACTATTAAGGTGAATAGTGGCAACATTAATTTAAGGCTTAATATTTTCTTTTTAATCAATTTCCCTCATTTGGACATGAGACAAATCCCAAAAAAACACTCATATTCATCCTTCATTCCTATTACCTTTGAGCCTCGATCTGTCACCATTTGGCAAGTTGTGGCATGCACCGCCACCATCAAAGTGTTTGTTGTCATCCCGTAACCACGATTGTACCATTCATTCACCAAGAAATAATGTCATTAGTCGTGGAGAAACGTTCAAATTATTATAAAAACTAAGCTTTCCTCAATTTTTTAACGATTCGTTATCATCCAATCGTCTGTGAGCGACATCGCTAATTCCAACATATTTTTTGTCCTGCTCAGTGTCGATCGATGTCTAGATCGTAGTTATTGACACTGACTTGTGGGTGATAAAGTTAAGGAAGTTTCTACCGTTAAAAAATTCCTATCTTCATTGCTCTCTGACATAAAATAATATCTGCAAGAAATTACCAAACCGACGATCTTCCATTCTGGAAAATTTAGAAGCGTTCTGACTGTCGGTTAAGCTTTACGACCCCACGCCTCGCCCCTCGCACGTGGGGGTTGTCGTCTTCTTGGAGGGTTCTATAGAATTGGCCAAACAGATTTGGACTATTTGAGTCGAGTTGCATGGAGTGAGCTAAGCTGAGTCGTTTAATTGAGTCAAGTCAAGCCGAGCCGTTGAGCCTAGTTGAGTTGACCTGTAATACCCCAAATATCATGTCAGTGGCTTTATTGAAAATATTTAAAATTTGAGAATTAATTTGAATAAATGATGAAGGATAAGAAATGATTTAGAAATAGTGTTTAAGACCAATTAGTAACAATGGATGAATAAAGAATGCATTTTAGTCCTTTAAGGGGAAATGAATTTAAAATTCAATTTATTAGGGATTTAAGAAGGGAAAAAGGGGAAAGTTAAAACAAAACTAAGTCATCTTTTCTTCTTCTTCCCGTGTTCATGTGCTCTCCTCCATATCCAAAGGTATGGTTTCATTTAACTAGTTTTTCCTTTCGTTTTTGGTTTGTTCTTAAAACCTTGAGTGTAATAGAGGCTTAAGGAATGGTTAAATATAATTAAAACTAAGAGATGGATGTTTTATTTGAGATTGAAGGAAATGGGTTTTTGAATGATATATTGGAATATGAGTTTTTATTGATGTTTACTAGTATATTTGACTTGTCAAAGAAGTAAATAAGAAATTAGAAGCCTTGGATAAGATTAAAAACATGTTAGAAAAAGTGGTATGATTCTTGGTTTGAGATGTTATTTGGAGATTTTAGATGTTATAAGAAGTTAAATGATGGAAAGTTAGTTTGGATAAGTTAAGAAGAGTATGATAGTATTGTTGGAGGTAAAAGTAAGGGAAGTTTACCAAATTTGGGTAAAAATCGAGCTGAAAAATGGAAAATCTAGGTAAGAGTATCGGTATTGGAAGAACATTATCGATACTATAGGTTTAAATTTGGGGAAATCAGATGAACAATATCTATACTTATGCAATTGGTATCGATACTGATGTGGGTATCGATACTATGCGGAAGGTATTGATACCATGGATTCCAAAATGCAGAAATGGTATCGATACTACAAGGGAGTATCGGTACCATATATAAAAGTATAAATACCATAGCAGGGGTACCGATACTATTGAGTTAAGAAAATTAAAATATGACGAATTTTGATGAAAATTGAATATAATAATACTTTTAAGTATTATTAAAATTATAAATGGTAGAGAGTATACTAACATTGGTATGATATGTGTACTTAATGGATGCTTGAGTAGATCATAACCAAGCTCCCAAGTCAAGCAATAAAAATGGCAAAGATAATGTTGTCGAATAGCTGGACATCATTAAAGCATACTAACGAGGCATACCGGATGAGTGCATTTATTATGTACATTAAGAGTTATAGATGCATGTTATGAAAGGCATATGTTACATTTGTATATCAATACTATGTGTACTATAGGCACTAAGTGTGCAACCCACAGAATTCATCATATGTTGATGAATGATCGTACATGCACTAAGTGTACAACCCACGAAATTCATCATATATTGATGAAGGACCATATCGGCACTAAGTGTGCAACCCACAGAATTCATAATATGTTTATGAACGACCGTATCGGCACTACGTGTGCATCTCAAAGAAATTATAATGATTTGAAAATAATGAATTTGTATCTGATAGATATGATATAATGATGTATTGATCTCACCTCACTAGTATTCTTGCCTCATTAAGTAAATACTTAATGTGTGTTTATTTCACGCGTAGGTTTTAGTAAGCAGAGTAAGGAGTGCATCTGACATCTCAAATCGAAAGTCGTCTCATCAGTAATTGTACGACAATTATGTCTATTTTTTATATTAGTAGTCGGCATGTAATAGAATTATGATAACACTCTGAAAAGTATTTTACTTATAATGATGTAAAAAGGATAAACTATTTGAGCAGTAAATGTTTGTTTATATACTAAAGTTTAATGAACGTTTTATTAGTATTAAATTAAAATATTTTATGAAAATAAACAAAATTTTATGGGTTTTCAAAGGAGGAAATGCTTTAAAAGTGATGTGACATATGTATATCGTGTACGGAAAGGTATATGGGAAATGAGTGTTACATTTATTGATATCAGAGCTACAGGGCCGAAATCGAGTGTATTTTAATGTAAAAAGGGTTTACATGCCACTAAGATGTCAATGTTACTGATAGGGTCTAGTTAGAATATGATTGATGTCTCTCCTTACTAACTTAAGTATTATCCTTATGCATGCGGATTCTATAAATTTGAGAAGAGCGGCTGAACGAGAGAATAGAGATGGATCGGGTAGTGAAATCTATGAAGAGAATAGTGAGCATCTGATTTCATCCGAGAGCGCTAGTGCACCGGCACATCAGGGTATGCCCGTGCCAGAGTTTGGAGCTTTTATGCAAGCTCTCGATGCCATCTTGACCTGGTTCCAACCTACTTCGCCTCCCCCTTCTCCTCGAACACCGCAGATGTTAATCCCAAAAGAGTTAAGAAGTTTGGGAGCTCCTGAGTTCCGGGGAGAAGAGGATGAAAGTCTGATGAACGCTGATTTATGGTTAAACGATGTTATAGTGATGCTGGAAAGTCTATAGTGCTCAGATTCTAAAAAGTTGGGCGGAGCTGTATCGTGACTCCGAGGATCAGCTCGGGTGTGGTGGACAAACACTATATGTATGCATCACTTGAAGAAGTGACCTAGCAATTCTTTTAAGATGAGTTTAAGAACAAGTACATCGGGGAGCAGTTTATGCGATCAATGCTGCTGAAGTTTCTTAATTTGAAAAAAGGCAATCGAGCAGTGCATGAGTATGAGGTTGAATACAACAAGCTTAGTCTTTATGCTACTGAGGTAGTTCCTAATGATAAAGCACGACGTGATTAGTTCATTGAGGGTCTGAGGCCTAAGTTGAAAGAGATGCTGTTGACTTTAAACTTGCCTAGCCTGTAAGAAGTTATAAACCGAGCTAAGGCTATTGAAAGAACTCAAGAGGAGACTCTAGCAGCGGAGCAGAATATACAGACGGGAAAAAGAGTTGAAATGTCTTCAACTTCCCATCATTGCTAAGAGAGGCAAGGGCTCGAGTTCCCGATATACTGATAGAGATAGTTCTACTGCAACTTCTTAGAAAAATAAACAACCATAATTTGTTGCTACTAGCTTGGGTAGAGCATATGGAGAAAGAACTAATTTATGTCAGGCATGTGGTATATTTCACCAGGGAGTGTGTAGATTGCTCTCTAGCATTTGTTTTCTTTTTGGAGAAACGGGTCACTGTGCTCAGAATTGTCCACAGAGATTTGGAGATAGATCAGTGAAAACTGAGATATCACTAGCACCACCTAGTAGAAGTAGAGTAAGAGGAAGATCCGGTGGTCAATCTGTGTCTATCAAACGACAAGAGACTCGGGGAGTGGCCCGAATTTATAATATTAAAACTAATGAGGATATGGATGACCCGAAGATCATAACATGTACATTTCATCTTTTTTATGAGCATGTATTTGTTTTAGTTTACCCTGGTTCTACACACTCTTATATTAGTACAAAGTTGATTAGAGCTAGAGGAATTCCTTTAGAACCAATATTTAGTGAGATGATAGCGGTAAACCCCATGGGCCACAGTGCGAGAGTAACTCAGGTATGTAGGAAATGTCCGATAAAGATTCAATGGGTTGTATTCCCGACAAACTTGATGGAGTTGCCCTTCGATGAATTTGAAATCATTTTGGGCATGGATTGGTTGTCTCCACATCATGGATGGGTTGATTGTCACAAGAAGCGGTTATTCTTGAAGGATGTGAAAGGCTCCGAAATAGTAGTTATCGGTGAAAAAGTGAAATCACCATCCAATGTGATATCGGCCATGACTGCAAAGAAAATGATGTCAAAGGGATGCCTATCTTTTCTAGCTAATGTGATATACACTCGAGTGTCGGAAGTGAGATTAAATGATATACCAACAGTTAAAGAGTTTCTAGAGGTTTTTCCAGAGGAATTACCGGGTTTACCTTCAGATCGTGTGGTGGAATTCATGATTGACGTTTATCTGGGTACCAAAGCTGTTTCTATGGCTTTGTATCGAATGGCTCCAACGGAGTTAAAAGAATTAAAAGCCCAATTGCAAGAGTTACTCGATAAGGGATTTATCGGACCCAATGTTTCTTTTTGGGAGCACTTGTGCTATTTGTGAAAAATAAGGACGGGTCTATGAGGTTATGTATTGACTATCGTCAATTAAATAAAGTAACAATAAAGAACAATTATCCTCTTCCGAGGATTGATGATTTGTTTGATCAACTGAAAGGCACAACGATGTTCTCTAAGATAGACCTGAGGTCAGGGTACCACCAATTAAAGATAAAAGAGGATGATATTTCAAAGACAGTTTTTTGGACTCGATACAGACATTACAAATTTGTGGTGATTCCATTTGGATTGACTAATGGTCCTGCAGCATTTATGGACTTTATGAACCGAGTATTCCAACCTTACTTGGATCAATTCGTGGTGGTATTTATAGATGATATTTTGGTGTATTCCTAAGTCAAAAGAGGAACATGATGCTCATCTTAAAGTGATCATTTAGGAACTTCGTGAAAAGAATATGTATGTAAAATTGTCCAAATACAAATTTTGGTTAGATGAGATTGTTTTCCCTGGTCATATAGTCTCTGTAGAATGTATAAGAGTAGATCCCAAAAAGATTCAAGCTATAGTGGATTAGCAACCCCCAAAGAATGTTTCTGAAGTTCAGAGTTTCTTGGGGCTTGCTAGTTATTATAGACAGTTCATGAAGAACTTCTCAATGTTAGCTTCGTCACTAACTAAGTTGTTACGAAAGGATGTACCTTTTGTTTGGATGGAGAAATGAAAAGAAAGTTTTGAAATGCTAAAAAGAATCGTAACAAAAGCCTCAATGCTTGTACAACCTAAGTCAGGTAAAGACTATGTCATTTTCAGTAATGCATCCCATAATGGAATGGGATATGTGCTGATGCAAGAAGGGAAAGTTGTGGCTTATACCTCAAGACAACTGAAGAATCACGAGAGAAATTACCTAATACATGACTTGGAATTGGTCGTGGTTGTGTTTGCTTTGAAAATTTGGCGTCATTAACTGTACGACGAGCGGTGCCATATTTTTACGGATCACAAGAGTCTAAAGTACTTGATGACTCAAAAAGAGATGAATTTGAGACAGAAAAGATGGATCGAGCTTTTAAAAGATTATGATTTGATCATTGATTATCATCCAAAAAAAGCTAATGTTGTAGCTGATGCCCTTAGTCGAAAGATTTTTGCAGCTCTATGGGCTTTGGATGCGCGTATGTCTTTAAAGGAAGATGGTGCCTTGATTTCTAAAATTAAGTTAAAGTCGATACTTTTGGATCGAGTAAAAGAGCTGCAAGGTTGAGATGAGAAATGCTTGGCGAGAATGGCGCAAGTCGAAAAAGAATAGGTTAAAGACTTCGAAATGAGGGATGATGGATGTTTATATTATCGTGAAAGACTTTGCAATCCCAATACTGTTGAACTGAAGAAAGATATTCTTTCTAAGGCACATTATAGTCCTTTGACAATGCATCCAGGCGAGAATAAGATGTATGAGGATCTGAAAAGTCGTTATCGGTGGCCTAGCATGAAAAGAACTGTATCGGAGTTTGTTGTAAAATATTTGACATGTCAGCAAGTAAAAGCTGAACATCAGGTGCCTTCTGGATTGCTACAACCAATATACATTCCTGAGTGGAAGTGGGAAGGAGTTACAATGGATTTTGTTTCGGGGCTACCTTTATCACTACGTAAAAAGGACTCGATATGGGTAATTGTGGACAGATTGACCAAGACAGCTCATTTTATTCCAGTTCGAGTAGATTACTCGATGGATAAGTATGCGGAGTTGTATATAAAAGAGATAGTTAGACTGCATGGTGTGCCTATATCGATAGTGTTCGATCGATACCCAAGGTTTACTTCAAGATTCTAGAAGTCTTTACATGAGGCATTGGGTACTCGATTCAACTTTAGCACAGCTTTTCATCCGCAGACAGATGGGCAGTCAAAACGAACTATTTAAATATTAGAGAATATGCTAAGGGCATGTGTGATTGAATTTAAAGGATCATGGGAAAGGTATTTGCCTTTAGTGGAATTTACTTATAACAATAGTTACCAATCGAGTATTAAGATGGCCCCGTATGAAGATTTGTATGGGAGGAAGTGCAGAACACCATTAAATTGGTTTGAACTAAAGGATCGAGACCTAGTTGGTCTAGAGTTGATGAAAGAAATGGAGGAGAAACTTAAAGTTATCCAGGACAATCTAAAGATAGCCTCCGATCGACAAAAGTCGTATGCTGATTTGAAAATAAAAGAAATTGAATTTCAAGTGGGAAACAATGTATTTCTGAAGGTATCGCCTTGGAAGAAAGTATTGAGATTTGGGAACAAAGGAAAGTTGAGTCCAAGATTCATTGAACCTTATGAGATTTTGAATAAGGTCGGACCAGTAGCATATCAATTAGCTTTACCTCCCGATATGGACAAGATCCACAATGTTTCTCACGTGTCGATGCTTAGAAGATACCGATTAGGTCCATCCAATGTCATCACACATGAAGAAATATAAATGCGACCATATTTAACTTATGAGGAAGAACCAGTGCGGATCTTGGCTAGAGAAAACAAGGAATTGCATAACATGAGGATTCCTTTAGTTAAAGTGCTCTGGCAGAACCATAAGGTAGAAGAAGCTACTTGGGAAAGAGATGAGGACAAGAGGAAGCAGTTTCCACACCTCTTCGTTTCAGGTACTTCTTTAAATTCGAGGACGAATTTTCTTAAGGGAGAGAATTGTAATACCCCAAATATCAGGTCAGTAAATTTATTGAAAATATTTAAAATTAGAGGACTAATTTGAATAAATGATAAAGGATAAAAAATGATTTAGAAATAGTGCTTAAGATCAATTAGTAAAAATGGATGAATAAAGAAGGCATTTTGGTCCTTTGAGGGGAAATAAATTTAAAATTCATTTTATTAGGGATTTAAGAAGGGAAAAAAGGGAAAGTTAAAACAAAACTAAGTCATCTCTTCCTCTTCTTTTTCCCGTGTTCATGTGCTCTCCTCCATAGCCAAAGTTAAGGTTTCATTTAACTAGTTTTTCCTTTCGTTTTTTGTTTGTTCTTGAAACCTTGAGTGTTATAGAGGCTTAAGGAATGGTTAAAGAGGATTAAAACTAAGAGATGGATGTTTTATTTGAGATTGAAGGAAATGAGTTTTTGAATGATATGTTGGAATATGAGTTTTTATTGATGTTTACTAGTATATTTGACTTGTCAAAGAAGTAAATAAGAGATTAGAAGCCTTGGATGAGATTAAAAACATGTTAGAAAAAGTAGTATGATTCTTGGTTTGAGATGTTCTTTGGAGATTTTAGATGTTATAAGAAGCTAAAAGAAGGAAAGTTAGTTTGGATAAGTAAAGAAGAGTTTAATAGTATTGTTAGAGGTAAAAGTAAGGGAATTTGACCAAATTTGGGTAAAAATCGAGCTGAAAAATAGAAAATATGGGTAAGGGTATCGGTACTGGAAGAACAGTACCGATACTATAGGTTTAAATTTGGGAAATCGGATGAACAATATCGATACTTATGCAATTAGTATCGATACTAATGTGGGTATCGATACTATGAGGAAGGTATCGATACCATGGATTCCAGAATGCAGAAATGGTATCGATACTACAAGAGAGTATCAATACCATATTATAGAAGTATCGATACCATAGTAAGGGTACCGATACTATTGAGTCTAGAAAAGTAAAATAGGATGAATTTTGAAGGAAATTGAATATAATAGTACTTTTAAGTAGTATTAAAAGTATAAATGATAGAGAGTATACTAACATTGGTATGGTATGTGTACTTAATGGATGCTTGTGTAGATCGTAACCAAGCTCCCAAATCAAGCAAGAAAAAAGGTAAAGATAAAGTTGTCGAATAGCTGGACATCCTTAAAGCATACTAACGAGACATATCAGGTGAGTGCATTTATTATGTACATTAAGAGTTATAGATGCATGTTGTTAAAGGCATATGTTACATTTGTATATCAATACTATGTGTAATATAGGCACTAAGTGTGCAACCCACAGAATTCATCATATGTTGATGAACGACCGTATAGGCACTAAGTGTGCAACCCACGAAATTCATCATATGTTAATGAACGACAGTATAAGCACTAAGTGTGCAACCCACGGAATTCATCATATGTTGATGAACGACCATATTGACACTAAGTGTGCAACCCACAAAATTCATAATATGTTTATGAACAACCCTATCGACACTACGTGTGCATCTCAAAGAAATTATAATGATTTGAAAATAATGAATTTGTATTTGATAGATATGATATAATGATGTATTGATCTCACCTCACTAGTATTCTTGCCTCACTAAGTAAATACTTAACATGTGTTTATTTCACACGTAGGTTTTAACAAACAGAGTAAGGAGTGCATCTAACATTGCAAACCGAGAGTCGCCTCATCAGTAATTGTACGACAACTCTATCTATTTTTCATATTATTAGTCGGCATGTAATAGAATTATGATAACGCTTTGAAAAGTATTTGACTTATAATGATGTAGAAAGGATAAACTGTTTGAACAGTAAATGTTTGTTTATATACTAAAGTTTAATGAACGTTTTATTAGTATTAAATTAAAATGTTTTATGAAAAGAAACAAAATTTAA